CTTACCTGCATATCTTTTTTCCGAATAGTTCAGTGTAGGTCCCCTTGTATTTTTAATAATGATACATCATAATTGATATGATTTCGTGATGAAACGTACAAATGTAGCTCGTTCTGGCGTCCCTCATTAAATTCAACTTTCTCACTACTTTTCTTCCACTTGAACGTGAGTTGGTTGTTTATAGTCATAATATGTTAAACGCGAAAATCAATAGAATGAATTTCAAGAAAATAAAACACACGCATAATTAATCAACGGAGTCGTGGACGTATACAAAAATGTTCAATATAATAAAATAATCGACTATAACGCGTTAATCCCCATTGTCCGGAGTAATTTTATAACGCACGAAAAATGTGACCACACACTGATGAGATTATTAACACAATACACCATTTCGCTGGATGAGCACGTAACACGACAGCCATTAAAAATACCCGTACAGGAAATTAATACTCCACTAATATCATAAAAATATTCGATCGTCGCATAAAGTACAGCAATTTCCTACATTACGTTTTTCGAAATTAACATAATATTAAAACATTTCCCATAATGTACGTATAGACTAGTAGAGCAGTACCTACACAGTACACGCGGCCAAATGCATATAAATAAATATATATACAGGGTTGGGCAGTATCTTCGATACAAGTATCTAAGATACGTATCTTAGATACATTTGTATCTTGTATCTTGTATCTCGATACAATTATGTGAAGTATCGAGTATCTTGTATCGCGATACATTTTTAGTCAATGTATCGAGTATTTCATGAATTAATTTAATCGAAAGATACTCGATACATTAAAGCGATACTTTGAAAAATTAATTGTTTACGATTATTTTTACTGGTCAGAAACCACTTTTGAAAAGTGACTAATGTATTATTATTACTGAAAGTGTCAATGTTTTTTATTTTATTTTTCATTCTAATTACTTAAGAGGACGTCTCACCCGGATGTGTTGTCTCAGTCTTACACACGTACGACATGCCAAATGTCCGTTTGCTAGTTTCAATAGTCAATAGGGTATTGTCAGTTTTGATATTAGAGTGAATCAACCTACTATCAAACTTTTAGGTACCTAACAACATTATCTGTGTTCTCTCGTTGGTTTTTTACGATATTTTAATTTTTAAGTGAGTTATGAACATTTTAGAATATGAATACTTTACAATTTTACATACCCATAATTCACTTAAAAATTAAAATATCGTAAGAAAATCAACGAGAGAACACAGATAATGTTGTTACCTAAAAGTTTGATAATAGGTCAATTCACTCTAATATAAAAACTGACAATATCATATTGAAACTAGCCAACGAACATTTGGTATGTCGTATGTGTGTAAGACGGAGACAACACATGTGGGTGAGGCGTCCTCTTAATGAAGTGGCCATACCCACAATAATAAACATAATTTTTAAAAATCCAGTGACTAATTTTATTAAAATGTATTGAGTATCGAGTATCGAGTATCTTGTATCGCGATAGTCCAAAGCCAAGTATCGAGTATCTAGTATCGCGATACTCTAGAGCCAAGTATCGAGTATCTAGTATCTCGATACTCCAAATCCAGGTATCTAGTATCTACTATCTCGATACTGATTTTTGAGTATCTTGCCCATCCCTGTATATATATATATATATAATATTATAATACACAGTCAATTTTACTACTAAATCATTCTGAGTAAAATATCCATAGTACAAAGGAATCGCTAAGTACACATACCAACACATTTTTTCATTATAAAGGAGTTTCCGTTATAGGGTAGACGACAACAATTTACACGGTATATGATTATACGGGACAGGTGTTGTTCTCTGTAGTAATGAGATGTCTGTCTTATAAAGAGTCCGTTATGAGGAGGTCTTACAGTTTATTTTCTATTATAAATCATGGTTGAAGATTGTATGCTATCTTTAATTTTGTGACAAATACATATTAAGTGTGATATCTATTGGCAGATTTATTATTTTTAACCGTGTAAATAATTAAATATATTGCGATATGCCTTACCTATGCATAATCACTTTTTTGTTTCAGTCCGACATACTATAGGCCATAGGGAAACAGTTATATAATAATAATTAGTTGATAGCAACATATTTTTATGTCAGTACCTACATAAGTAATATTATTATTATTTGTAGTTTTATTGGTTAATAAGCGGTACAGTTGGACTGTGTATGGAATATGGATTACCTATAAAGTAATGTGCAGTTTATAGATATTGTTGTATAATTCAGACTGCAGTGATATAAATTCTGGCAACTGTATTAAAATGAATAGTAATAATAAAAAGAAGCATTATAATATTCCATGTATGGTTTTATTGACACCTTTGTAGCCTATATAAATACGATGATTTGGTATTGTTATAACTTAATGACACGAATTGAGGGAATACAATTAATCTGTACAGGATTTCAACTGAAGTATGTAGAATAATATTAATAATTGAACGACGATATTATTGTGCATTTAAATAAAAAATAATATAGGTAACTATAATTGTAAACATTCGATGGGTAGACAGTACATAACTGTATAGTATAATATACACTAATTACAGTATATATAATTATGCATTCAAGTCTTAGGACCTTTTCACACTACAGAGAAAGCGAGAGGGAGAGAGGGAGATATGTACTCACTATCACGACTGTTTTTTTTTAACGGGAAACGTCAATGAAAAAATACATAACATAAAATAATATTATATAGATAAAAAAACGTACATGAGAACGATTGTCATTTTAGATTTTTTTTCTGTTCTAAAACCTAGAGAGTTTTTCAACAGTATTAAAAAGCAGCAAACTCATTTTTTTTTCTTTCATTACAATTTTAATTACGAATGAAATGTTTTAGTGAAATGTAATATCAAGTCTGTCAATTCACCATGCTAAGATAAATTTGAATAGCAACGAGTTTCTGGCTTTATAAAAACAGTTTCAGCAATACACGTAAATCACTCTTTACAACTGCATCTAGCTGTCTCAAAAAAATCAGTAAAGTTAAATAAAAACAATAAAGGCCATGACTGTTATCACGATTTGTAGAACGGCGTACATCAAGGTTTTGATGTTTTTTTTGAACTTAATCTACATAACCTATGATCATGAAGACGATTAACGATTTTGTCAACAGGTACAATTATTTAAATGTTTAAATAGTACCTACTTGCCTAATAACTTATCATCCATTGGTTGAAAGTCGACCAAAAAAACCGTTTCAATTGTAAAATGGAAACGTTCTACAATATTGCATTTCACACAGCATAGTTCACGTTCATAGCGTCTATTGTACTTATTCGCCATTTATTCGTATGAACGTTTTATAATATTATGGGGAAAACAGGAAATTCATATTTTAGTTTCCTAGTCTATAAGTTAAATATAATATTATATATTTAATACTTAATATTAAGTCTATAGATTTTCCATAATGAGATAATTTATTTTGGATATCAATGAGCGTCTGCCTTTATACAAACAGACAAACAGTACAGTAGTATAGGTACGTAAAACACTCTTTACAACTGCAGCTGTCCAGTAATCGGTAAAATGAAATAAAGTCAATAAAGACCGCGACTGTTGCCACTATTTGTGGAACGATGTATGGACGTTCAAAGTGTTTATAGTTGGTATAATGAAATATGAAATCATTGATAGTAAATCACCTTTCATTAGAGCAGTGGTTTTAAATATCTGCAGTGTGTCACGACCTTAGTGATCGTAGTACACGTGTATAGCACAATCATTAAAAATGAAAATTTTCCAGTAGATACTAATAGACATTAAATAACATATTCCTAGTATAAACTTAAACCGATAACATTTTCCTAGAGAAATATTACTCCCATAGAAGGATACAATTATCTTAAGAAAATATTACTCTAGGTACGATAATCCTGGGATAATTGTAAACCCGGTAAAATTTTCCTAGGACGTATGTACTTCTAGTGGGTACTCCAAGAATTGTTTTACTAGGGGTACGATTATTCTAGGATAATAAAACTCCCATCTGAAAGATTCTCAAGAGGTACGATTGTCATAATATAATTTTACTAGTTACCTACTAGGGGTAAAATTAAACTTGTAAAGTTGTAAAAGTTTTTTGTATCAGCATCCAACAGATATCAAAAGTTTGTGATGTTTCAAATTAGTTTGAGTAAATATTCACAGCGAGAACGAAATACATAATTTTACCAGAATCAACATGATATTTTGAATAATACATATTAATTAAAACCTTTATTTTAATTTGTATTATGCATTATATCTTTAGACGAAAATAAATAATAAAAATATATACATTTACAATTATAAATAATAGTTATTTATTATTCAAAATTAATTACAACATCGAAGTATACATCATTACAATTTCTAATGTATAACCATTTTCCTGTTTTACTAAGTGATTTTTTGACTGTAATAACTCTGTCGAATAATTGCCATTCATATAAACGTATATAGACGTGTTTGATAAAATTCCAACACCAAATATCTATACGTCAGTACCCACACAGTTGAATTAAAGAAAGACAATTTTGTTCATTAAAAAAATGTATTTATTTATAGAACACTAAAACTAATGATAAGGCCTATCATTTAAACGAATATTTTAAAAACATATCATTATAATTACCATGGCATTGTGAAAATATACACCATGATACGCTCTTATTTCCCCCAATAATAGTATAAGGAAGTTCATAAAAATAATGAAGTAATGACACAGTTACTGCACTCTTTTTAAAAAAAAATTCTTATAGTTGCCAAATTCTCGGACCCCCGGGAAATTTTCTTACAACCTGTTAGAGCTTGTGATTTTTTTAGATAACGGATAGATATATTATTGGTGGTCACCGAGCAACAGTATTCTATTTGGTGGACGACAGTGACAACGATATACAAATCAATCTATAAACGAAAAATAAAGTGAAACCGTTGGCGACGGTTAGAACCATCGATACAACAGCGACGGGATGTACCGTAAAGGTATGGCGCTAGTGGCGATGGTGATCGTTCTGCCGACGGTTACAGTCATGTGTGCTGACGGTGATAGTGATGACCATATCTCTGGGGCAGGTGGCCTCAAGGAAGCCATACAAGATCTGTACGCCGAGATCATAGCGTCTGAGAGCGACGGCGGCAGCGGTGTCGGCGGTGATTCGTCCGCCAGTAGGTTAGACGACGTCGCGTCTGCCAAAGCGAAATTCGTGTCGGACAGCCTGCGCCGAATGATCGGCAGCATTGACACGACCGACGGGACAGTTATAGACAACGATAGCGACAGCGAAACGGTCGAATGGAAACTGCGCAGCAAGCAAAAAGAGATGATCGACGCGATCAAACGGTACGAGGAGACGCACGGCGTCAAGGTCAGCGAGCGGGCGGCGAAGCACGTCAACTGGCTGATGGACAAATGCATGGAAAGCATAGCGTTGAGAAAGAATGAGCCCGTGGACGGGACCGAGACAACGGCGGCCGCAGTCAAGCAGATCAAGCATGACGACATGTGTGCCCTGCAGAAGTGTTTTGACGATTGGTTGGACCGGTTCGAACAATTGAGGATGTCGGACGTAACGGCGGTCAACCGTCGTGGTATCTACGGCCACAGGTCCTCGACTACGTCGCTGTCGATTCCCCGGCCACCACCGACGCCGCGGCCACCACCACCGTCAAGGACGCCACTGACGACAAAGCCACCACCGACACCTCAGCGGACGACCCGTTTGGTCGGCCGGTTCAAGTTCAAGCAGTTCACCAACAAACAACCCCGCGTTGAGATCGCCAAAGCCGTCACCGAATACCAGTGACCGGTGACCGGACCCGCATTTGTATCCTCCCGCCGACGTTTTGGCGGATTTTTCAATATTCGTTTCCTACTTCGCTCGTCGACCGACATTCTACGCTTCGTATAAGTTATATTATAATAATAATAATAAACATTGCAATGTCGATGTTTAAATAAAAAAAACTTACATTTATATTGAGTATAATAAATGATTGAACCATTTATGAACATGTATTGTAATCAAACTTTTCATATTTAGATGCCTAATGCCTATACACTGTTCACAATAAGAAACGCAAACGGTGACCGTCTTGTGCGCATGTGCGTGGCAACCCTTCAAGGCAGATTGATGACTCGATGGGGGTGACAAACAGCTGGTGTTACCTGTCTTGCGCCGCAGAAAACTGGTCTCCGTCGTTTGCGTTTCTTATTGTAAATTAGAGTCACAGGCTACAAAACATATAATATATATTATATAAACTTATTTATTAGAGTCGAGAGATTGATCGAACTCAAAAATAATATCATCTCCAATCAAAGTTTTTAGTTTTATGTCAAACTGAAATAACAATTTTCATACTATACGAGTTTGAATTTAATAAATTATAGTCTTATTTGTTCTTAGATAAATCTGATTACTACTAATCGGTTTATTAAAAATGATAAACAATTATTATACTGCAGGTGTATTTTTCGTCGATTAATAATTAGACAATAGACAAGATAATAATTTTAAAATGAACACCACCGTAGTACCTCCACTGGGAGGACTCTACACAATCTTTCTTCCGTCATTTATTTTTTTTTTCTTCTAAATCCATCAATTGTTTTTATTGTTCTATTTGTAATAACAGATTGAAAAAAAATAAACACCAGAAACATTTTTTGTTTCAAGCGTTTGAGGTGATTAAATTATTTTTTAAGTTCGTACATTTCTTTTTAGTTCAATATATTTCTAAGTTGGGATTAATTATAGAATTTCATATTTTTTGTTCGATTAGGTTTTTATAAAACTAGGTTCAGCTTCGAACTCGAACTGAAAACTACCTACCGACCTATACTATATATCTACGCCAGAATACCGAAATATATTTTTTAAGCTTCTTTAACCTCCGTCTTTACAAGTGTTGACCTCTTTCACATTTATTTCAGTCCAAAAAGTCATTTTATATAATATTTATACTGTTGTGATGCACTTTTACAGTACCCATCTAGTTAAATAACAATACATGTCCATTTGTCTGTGCAGTTTTACACAGTTGATATAACCCATGCATCACATTATAATGCAATGACGCTTCAAACTACTTGTTGTTGTAGTGTATATTGTGTAATATCATAGAACGTGCACATAACAAAACGTGCGAATGACTGATAATTTGTCAACGTCATCGAGCGAGTGGCTTATATGAACGTATTTTATACCATCAAGAGGGATTTGGCTACTCAACGCATAAAATATAAGGAACAAAATTGATGAATACAATTAAAACAATTATATGTATTTAATATCTATAGCACGATCACATCCATAACTTAATAAAATCTCTCATACTTGCGGAAGTTGATAATTTTCGAGTCCGTATTACATACTCGTAATGTTGTTACTTTTGGTGTTAATTGTTTAAAAAATTATCGTGCAAGCAACAACCCTATAACCATCTTAATGTACTTGGCCAATAAGTACCTACCCACCCAATGTTACTTGCATAACTTTAATATTTGATCATTATACCGTCCATATTATATTATATTAAATATGTTTTCTGTCTTATATTATTTGAATGATTTCTTATGTCTCTATTCGTATTAATATATGTTATCAAAATAATTAATAGGGTGTGGTCCGTTATGTAATTAAAATAAAAAGAAAATATTTATCTATAGATCTGTCTATATGTGTGCAGTCTTATCGGAGAAACTACAACAGGTCATGGTAAACCGATGTATGTGTGTATATTTCATTCAATAAACAATATATTCAACATACTTCGAGTACACCTGGGTTTGATGCCTTGCGGCTTCAACTGTGTATCCCATATTAGCTGGCTCTGGGAGCTAGTTGAGAGACGTAGAGGTTCATGGACGTTGCCCGAAGAGATATCCCATAAGGCATAACAAATCATGACTTGCATGGCCAACGTGATGGTAGGGTGATAACACTCTCACTCCAAGGACCACGAGCATAGGACTCAAAGCTTTACAGTTTACAGCTAGGTACTCGCACTGTTTTCTAGGGCTATCCACTTTGTCGTCATGGTGGGGCCTCAAGCTATCTTCATTGTTATCATTTTTTGGTCACTGACAACCTTCGGTGAATATGCCCCACCGATAGGCTGTGTGTGCGCTAAGGAGATACCGTGGTCGTGGGCGGCCATCTCACACCGTATGCCAGTGGCGGAAATCAGGCCCTCCTCACCCTTGGGATTTTCGTCACCACTATACATATTATTATTACAATATTACTTACGACTTAATACTTAATAATTTATGTATATGTGATCTGCTGATGCAAACCGTCATAGACCGCGCACCGTCTTTAATCGATGCACAACATGAGGATTGCATTGTGTCAATTTCTTAGAGCCTTGGGGTTCCCCCCACATCCCAAAGTTCCATTTTTTGCTCCCGCTAGGTAAGCACATCATTGGTTGGATGCTTGGTCCGAACGACATCAGCATTTCTCCTCGGCTCTGAGCCTCCCGATATTTAGGCCGTGTACTACTATGGCCATTATAATATTTAACATACAATTCCCACTCCATTCATAATATACCTATTCTTAAAGGTATAATAATTAGTAAATAGTATTTTACATATTAAAGGGTATACCTAATGTACAAGGTGGCACCTGTTATTTGGAATGTTAACACGTCTCGAACTTAATTAATTGATTTGTATAGTTTGTATTATAATTATTTTAATGCAATTAACTGTATTTGTACCTATTACCTATACCTGTTTTTCTGTAATGTAATGTCAATACCATAAAAATATGTATTTATTATTTATTATTTAAATTTACCTTCAACCTTATAATGTGTATTCCGTTTTGTAATATAAACAATATTGAATACATATTAATACACAGCTCTTCCATAATTTAACATAATTATGATTGTGTCACTTAAAGACACGTATCATTGTTCAGCTGAAGTACGTTCTATTATAATTAAATACATACAACTATTATTAACTTAAACCTTCTCATAATTGTATTTTTATTAAATACAGTAGGTACCTACTTAAGATAAATACTTGTACTAAATATGCTTAATGAGAACGTCAACGTAAGACAAAATTAATTGAAACACATTCCACGGGCCATGGCACATTTTTTATCCGTCTGATATATTAGTTTTTTTTTTTTAATTAATTAATTAATTAAATTGAAGTATTTGTTTTTTTTGTATTTTTTACATCGAGTCCTACATTTTCTGAAAATAAAATTGATTCGTATTTCGTAATATTTTGTTATAATATAATTTTGCTCAATATTATGAAAATACCTACTTTTGGTGAGTAAAATTGTGGACAACAAGATTTAGAGAAATCTTAAATTATACTACTCAGCTATTTATATATTATATAATATTTAGAGTCTGATACGTAGGTACAAAAGTCTCACTAAAATTTATATTTTCGATCATAAGTGCATTCTTTGTATTATTTATTTAAAAATTATTACCCAAATATTTGAATGCTATATTAAATATGATTATTTTATTGTACTATACTATTATAAAATATAATTATTGTGATTAATTTTTAAATTTTAGAATTAATATTAGTAAGCAAACATAGATGTATACAATAACTAACTAGATCGTCGTCTCCTTCTTATCATTGAAATCAACCGCCATTTACAAAACAGGCAATGTTCACAAAACAATATTATCACAATATATATTATTATGTATACGAATAAATATAAAATAAATGTAAGCATTGCTTACTTTATAAATGGCTGTCAAGTGTCCATATAAATTGACAAATGTTATAAGATTCATGTCAGCGATGTCCGAAGCGATGACATATTGTCATGGTGACGATTAAATAACATTGTTTGCACTGGTACATAAAAATAAAAATCTAATTAAACAAATTTTGTTTAATTTTTTTAAACTACGTATAAATGTGGCCTTCATTTAATATTAATACCGAATTTTTTTTTAATAGGATATTATATTCTTTGCCATGCAAAAAGTATTTAAATATACACTTTGAAAGTATGATGTGTATAATTATTAATAAGGTACATTTTAGATTCTGAGCGGAGCGATGAATGTATTGGTTTTACAATGATGTATGTTTTTATTTATATTTTAGATTCTGAGCGGAGCGATGAATGTATTGGTTTTACAATGATGTATGTTTTTATATTTTAGATTCTGAGCGGAGCGATGAATGTATTGGTTTTACAATGATGTATGTTTTTATATTTTTATTTATATTTGTTTTTATTTATATTTTTGTGTCTGTCATCACGTTTTAGGACAGTAAAAGTGCTTGGATTTTCTTCATCAGTAGCTTTTCTGATAGGAAAGTGAATCTAGTTGGTACTTTGGGGGGTCAAAAGTATAAATTTCCCAGTAGTTTTCACAAGCGCCGGGAAAAACAACATAAAAATTAAGGAAAAACGGGAATTTTTACGCAAAATTGGTTTTCCAAAAAATCGATTTTGGTTATTGGTGTAACTCTAAAACAAATGAACGTATATACATGAAATTTTCACTGGTTGTTTATATTTGCATTTTCTATACACGATAACATTTTCAAAATATTTTGATTTATTTTGAACTGTTTAGGGACATTTTCATTTTCCATTTTTTTTAGTTTTTTTTCTAAAAATATCAATAAAATTTTATTTATTGGTTGCGAAAGCTTGACAATTTAATAGAAGGCTCCTAATATGTTGTTTCAAAGGCAGATGAAAAATATTAAAAATCCTTAGTCACAATTTTTTTTTATAAGCATTTAAAGTTCAAAAATTGACAAAATATGGGAAAATCACGAAAATTA